GCCAACACCTGGATGTACAGCTCCCTCCAGTGGCCAACACCTGGATGTATAGCTCCCTCCAGTGGCCAACACCTGGATGTACAGCTCCCTCTAGTGGTCAACACCTGGATGTATAGCTCCCTCCAGTGGCCAACACCTGGATGTACAGCTCCCTCTAGTGGTCAACACCTGGATGTACAGCTCCCTCCAGTGGCCAACACCTGGATGTACAGCTCCCTCCAGTGGCCAACACCTGGATGTATAGCTCCCTCCAGTGGCCAACACCTGGATGTACAGCTCCCTCTAGTGGTCACCACCTGGATGTACAGCTCCCTCTAGTGGCCAACACCTGGATGTACAGCTCCCTCCAGTGGTCACCACCTGGATGTATAGCTCCCTCTAGTGGTCACCACCTGGATGTATAGCTCCCTCCAGTGGTCACCACCTGCATGTACAGCTCCCTCTAGTGGCCAACACCTGGATGTACAGCTCCCTCTAGTGGCCAACACCTGGATGTACAGCTCCCTCCAGTGGTCACCACCTGGATGTATAGCTCCCTCCAGTGGCCAACACCTGGATGTACAGCTCCCTCCAGTGGTCACCACCTGGATGTATAGCTCCCTCCAGTGGTCACCACCTGCATGTATAGCTCCCTCCAGTGGCCAACACCTGGATGTACAGCTCCCTCCAGTGGTCACCACCTGGATGTATAGCTCCCTCCAGTGGTCACCACCTGCATGTATAGCTCCCTCCAGTGGCCAACACCTGGATGTATAGCTCCCTCTAGTGGTCACCACCTGGATGTATAGCTCCCTCTAGTGGTCACCACCTGGATGTATAGCTCCCTCTAGTGGTCAACACCTGGATGTATAGCTCCCTCCAGTGGTCACCACCTGGATGTATAGCTCCCTCCAGTGGTCAACACCTGGATGTACAGCTCCCTCCAGTGGCCAACACCTGGATGTATAGCTCCCTCCAGTGGCCAACACCTGGATGTATAGCTCCCTCTAGTGGCCAACACCTGGATGTACAGCTCCCTCCAGTGGCCAACACCTGGATGTACAGCTCCCTCCAGTGGCCAACACCTGGATGTACAGCTCCCTCTAGTGGCCAACACCTGGATGTATAGCTCCCTCCAGTGGCCAACACCTGGATGTACAGCTCCCTCCAGTGGCCAACACCTGGATGTACAGCTCCCTCTAGTGGCCAACACCTGGATGTATAGCTCCCTCCAGTGGCCAACACCTGGATGTACAGCTCCCTCCAGTGGCCAACACCTGGATGTACAGCTCCCTCCAGTGGCCAACATCTGGATGTATAGCTCCCTCCAGTGGCCAACACATGGATGTATAGCTCCCTCTAGTGGTCAACACCTGGATGTATAGCTCCCTCTAGTGGTCTGGATGTATAGCTCCCTCCAGTGGCCAACACCTGGATGTATAGCTCCCTCTAGTGGCCAACACCTGGATGTATAGCTCCCTCTAGTGGTCAACACCTGGATGTATAGCTCCCTCTAGTGGTCAACACCTGGATGTATAGCTCCCTCCAGTGGTCAACACCTGGATGTATAGCTCCTCTAGTGGTCAACACCTGGATGTATAGCTCCCTCTAGTGGTCTGGATGTATAGCTCCCTCCAGTGGCCAACACCTGGATGTATAGCTCCCTCCAGTGGCCAACACCTGGATGTATAGCTCCCTCTAGTGGCCAACACCTGGATGTATAGCTCCCTCCAGTGGCCAACACCTGGATGTATAGCTCCCTCTAGTGGCCAACACCTGGATGTATAGCTCCCTCCAGTGGCCAACACCTGGATGTACAGCTCCCTCTAGTGGTCAACACCTGGATGTATAGCTCCCTCCAGTGGCCAACACCTGGATGTACAGCTCCCTCTAGTGGTCTGGATGTATAGCTCCCTCTAGTGGCCAACACCTGGATGTATAGCTCCCTCTAGTGGTCTGGATGTATAGCTCCCTCTAGTGGTCAACACCTGGATGTATAGCTCCCTCCAGTGGTCAACACCTGGATGTATAGCTCCCTCTAGTGGTCAACACCTGGATGTATAGCTCCCTCTAGTGGTCTGGATGTATAGCTCCCTCTAGTGGTCAACACCTGGATGTATAGCTCCTTCCAGTGGCCAACACCTGGATGTACAGCTCCCTCTAGTGGTCAACACCTGGATGTATAGCTCCCTCCAGTGGCCAACACCTGGATGTATAGCTCCCTCTAGTGGTCAACACCTGGATGTACAGCTCCCTCTAGTGGTCAACACCTGGATGTACAGCTCCCTCCAGTGGCCAACACCTGGATGTATAGCTCCCTCCAGTGGTCACCACCTGGATGTACAGCTCCCTCCAGTGGTCAACACCTGGATGTATAGCTCCCTCCAGTGGTCAACACCTGGATGTATAGCTCCCTCCAGTGGCCAACACCTGGATGTATAGCTCCCTCCAGTGGCCAACACCTGGATGTATAGCTCCCTCTAGTGGTCTGGATGTATAGCTCCCTCTAGTGGCCAACACCTGGATGTATAGCTCCCTCCAGTGGCCAACACCTGGATGTATAGCTCCCTCCAGTGGTCTGGATGTATAGCTCCCTCCAGTGGCCAACACCTGGATGTATAGCTCCCTCCAGTGGTCTGGATGTATAGCTCCCTCCAGTGGCCAACACCTGGATGTATAGCTCCCTCTAGTGGCCAACACCTGGATGTATAGCTCCCTCTAGTGGTCAACACCTGGATGTACAGCTCCCTCTAGTGGTCAACACCTGGATGTATAGCTCCCTCTAGTGGTCAACACCTGGATGTACAGCTCCCTCTAGTGGTCAACACCTGGATGTACAGCTCCCTCTAGTGGCCAACACCTGGATGTACAGCTCCCTCCAGTGGTCAACACCTGGATGTACAGCTCCCTCTAGTGGTCAACACCTGGATGTACAGCTCCCTCTAGTGGTCAACACCTGGATGTATAGCTCCCTCCAGTGGTCAACACCTGGATGTATAGCTCCCTCCAGTGGCCAACACCTGGATGTATAGCTCCCTCCAGTGGCCAACACCTGGATGTATAGCTCCCTCTAGTGGTCTGGATGTATAGCTCCCTCTAGTGGCCAACACCTGGATGTATAGCTCCCTCCAGTGGCCAACACCTGGATGTATAGCTCCCTCCAGTGGTCTGGATGTATAGCTCCCTCCAGTGGCCAACACCTGGATGTATAGCTCCCTCCAGTGGTCTGGATGTATAGCTCCCTCCAGTGGTCAACATCTGGATGTATAGCTCCCTCTAGTGGCCAACACCTGGATGTATAGCTCCCTCTAGTGGTCAACACCTGGATGTACAGCTCCCTCTAGTGGTCAACACCTGGATGTATAGCTCCCTCTAGTGGTCAACACCTGGATGTACAGCTCCCTCTAGTGGTCAACACCTGGATGTACAGCTCCCTCTAGTGGCCAACACCTGGATGTACAGCTCCCTCCAGTGGTCAACACCTGGATGTACAGCTCCCTCTAGTGGTCAACACCTGGATGTACAGCTCCCTCTAGTGGTCAACACCTGGATGTATAGCTCCCTCCAGTGGCCAACACCTAGATGTACAGCTCCCTCCAGTGGCCAACACCTGGATGTACAGCTCCCTCTAGTGGTCAACACCTGGATGTACAGCTCCCTCTAGTGGTCAACACCTGGATGTACAGCTCCCTCTAGTGGTCAACCTACACCCTCTATGGTTCAACACCTGGAGTACAGCTCCCTCTAGTGGTCAACACCTGGATGTACAGCTCCCTCTAGTGGTCAACACCTGGATGTACAGCTCCCTCTAGTGGTCAACACCTGGATGTATAGCTCCCTCCAGTGGCCAACACCTAGATGTACAGCTCCCTCTAGTGGTCAACACCTGGATGTACAGCTCCCTCCAGTGGCCAACACCTGGATGTACAGCTCCCTCCAGTGGCCAACACCTGGATGTACAGCTCCCTCCAGTGGCCAACACCTGGATGTATAGCTCCCTCCGGTGGTCTGGATGTATAGCTCCCTCCAGTGGTCTGGATGTATAGCTCCCTCCAGTGGTCTGGATGTATAGCTCCCTCCAGTGGTCAACACCTGGATGTATAGCTCCCTCTAGTGGTCTGGATGTATAGCTCCCTCCAGTGGTCAACACCTGGAACTACACCTGATAACAGAATCTGCATAAACACATTCATAACTTACAGTATAATATATGCAGTAGTGTGTGTGTACCTTAGCGAAGGTGTTGATCTGCTCCTGGTTCAGGAGGATCTGCAGCATGGCAGCACAGATAGGACAGCAGGCTCCTGGGGGTCAGAGGGTCACAGGTCAGAGGTCACAGGGTCAGAGGTTAGGAACACATGCACAGGTGAGCATGCACTAAAGTCACACAGGTAAAGGTGTAATACAGGTGTGTTTCCTCTCACCTGGGGGGGTGAGGGGGGTGCAGTGCGGGGGGGAGAGGGGGGGGCAGGGCACCCCGCTGCAGGCAGTCTCCGGGGCACCCTCAGAGACAGGACCCACAGCGTGGCAGGAGCCCTGGTAGTCCACGGCAACGCGGTCATTGAACGCCTCACACACCGTGCTGTAGGTCTCTCCGTTCTGACCGCACACTGGAGAGGGACGTCTGCACCAGTCCTGAGGAGAGATGGGGAGAAGCCTGCGAGCTAGTTCAGGCACTCAACTCCAGCACTCATGCTGCATCCATACATAACGCCCCTTGCTACTCTACAACCAAACAGAGTCTCCTTAATGTGCCGCTCTATTGAACCGGCCAGGTCTCTCTCCATGCATTGCTTGCTGCCCCCCCACCCCAGCTTCCCCCTGTAGGCTCGGGGGGTTAGTTATCTAATCATCACTCATGGTGCTATGTATATCTGTGGAGTGATGAGGCCCGAGCCTAGACGCCAAACTATATGCTGCTTCTAATAAACATGTTAGTCTGACTGAAAGGGTTATTATGGGATGGATGTATCTCTAATAGTATATATATATAAGAGGTATATCACACAGGAACACACTCATGTTTTATTTACTGACATATATCAGAGTCTCTCACCTGGCAGGGTCCCAGGTAGGCCAGGGTCTTTCCGGCATGCAGGAGCGTGCACGTGGAAGAGTGCACGAGGCCGTCTGTGTCGCAGGCCGGCTGCACGATGCTGCGGTCGCATGAGGGGCGAGCGACACACTCATACTGAGGACACTCTGAGGAGAGAGAGAGACACACTGCGTACCGGGGGACACACCTGAGGACACACACACACAGGGGTCAGAGAGGAGGTAAGGACAGAGGAGATAAGGAAAGGAGCCTCACCTCAGGCCCCTGCTACAGGGTTTCCCTCTGCAGGGGTCAGAGAGGAGGTAAGGACAGAGGAGATAAGGAAAGGAGCCTCACCTCAGGCCCCTGCTACAGGTTTCCCTCTGCAGGGGTCAGAGAGGAGGTAAGGACAGAGGAGATAAGGAAAGGAGCCTCACCTCAGGCCCCTGCTACAGGGTTTCCCTCTGCAGGGGTCAGAGAGGAGGTAAGGACAGAGGAGATAAGGAAAGGAGCCTCACCTCAGGCCCCTGCTACAGGGTTTCCCTCTGCAGGGGTCAGAGAGGAGGTAAGGACAGAGGAGATAAGGAAAGGAGCCTCACCTCAGGCCCCTGCTACATGGTTTCCCTCTGCAGGGGTCAGAGAGGAGGTAAGGACAGAGGAGATAAGGAAAGGAGCCTCACCTCAGGCCCCTGCTACAGGGTTTCCCTCTGCAGGGGTCAGAGAGGAGGTAAGGACAGAGGAGATAAGGAAAGGAGCCTCACCTCAGGCCCCTGCTACAGGGTTTCCCTCTGCAGGGGTCGCTGAGTCTGCAGCGTCCGAACTGGAAGTTCTGGTCTGAGAATCCGAGACATCGAGCGACGCAGGCGCTGGGGTACGTCCGACCGTTAGAAGCACAGACCGGCACGAAGTGATGAGGGCAGCTGCACGGGAGACCTGGAATATATATATACAGTATAAAGTGTGTGTGGGAGATACATGCATTAAACAGCATGCAGCTTCAATACTGGGCTTTTCTGCAGAGTTTTTGTCGATCAGCTGCAATAGAACTATTGCTAACACACACACACACACACACACACACACACACACAAAGCACACACACCTGTGAAGAGCCTCCTCTCGTCCTCAGAGCTGTGGGGGGTCAGGCAGGGTTTCTTGGAGCAGATCGTTTCTCCAGAGAAACAGAAGCAGGAGCGACAGTTCATCGAGAAGGAGGAGCCGTGACCTACACACACACACACACACACACACACACACACACACACACACACACACACACACACACACACACAAAGCACACACACACACACACACACAAAGCACACACACACACACACACACACACACACAGAGACACATGATTACGTTCAGGAGAAATGAAAGCAGTAAGTCAGATGATTATAAATGTAGGTATTTGTAATGTGCTGTCACTCTGCTGCCCTCTAGTGGCCGAGCGACAGCAGTGCAGAGTGACTGGAGCCATAATAAAGGCTGTCAGTGAGAGGGTCTCCCTGCAGGATCGTTATATTAATGTATATCATGCAGTATTTGCTGGGCTGAGTTAAACCCTGGTTTACTGAGGGTTATACAATCAATAATATTACATGTATCTGAATAAATGAAAGTAGACATGGTTCTTACAGTGACCTGATGAACGTGTGTCTGACTGCTGGAGCAGATTCATAATGAAGTCAGTGCAG